CAGTTTCTGTGTGCAGTCTGTTGCCATTCTGTCAACAGATACTGTTGACAGACTCTGCGTAAAATCTGCTCGCACAGGTTTGGCTATCTGGGTATACTGTTATATAACTGTTATCTAACTGTTATAACTATTATACTGTTCTAACTGAGCTTCAAATGTAAGTAAAGCGCACTTTTAAATATATAATTCAAAATCCAAAAATAAATGGCTTTCATATAATGCGATTGAGTTTGTTAGAACTATATATGGATTTTAGAAACATGAATACAAACTTAAGGATAAAATATACTTCGCATAAATATATTTATTATTAATACAGATGAAAATTTTATATATCAAAAGTTATTTTAACACCAATTCCTTTTCTTTGCCCTATTATATAAAACTATAATTAATTCCACAAAATATAAATAACTGCGAATAACAATAAATTAAACAATTTATATGTAAATATGTAAATTAATTATTATACACTCACTGATATATACTGAATATAGTAAAACGCAAAAAATAATTGCTATAAACAAAATTTTTTAAGGGTTAAAGGCCAGAGCACAGACTTTTACATAACGCATAAGGCATAACGCATAAGAGAATCAGCCAATCAGAGTCCTTCCTTTCCATCCCCACTTCTCATTCTGAGGATCTTGTATAGTGCATAAAGCATAATGCATAAGAGGTCAAAAAATCCGTAAGAACGAATTCTTATGCGTTATGTAAACGACATGCGTCAGAAAACAGTGTCCGCCACATATGTTCTATGATTCCTAACCTATTATGTATGTACATCAATAAAGTTGATATATTATTAGTGCTTCATATACCATTCATATAACGTTATTAATTTTTCGGATTGTGTGTCCGAAGCCAAGAACAAAAAAGGTAATATAATATTAATATATATTTATGTTTGCGAATATATATAATTTGATATTTATATCTTACTAAATTATATATCAATATTATTAATATTTTATATCGATAGGGAAATGGATCATGATTCCTACTATTTTGATTCCCAATATCAAAATTATTATGATTCTGAAAATGAAAATGGAAATTTTTGTGAAGTAGGGAGTCAAAATGAAACAGATGGAGATGCTTTACTTATTTCTTTAGTGCGTGACCACCCCTACTTATACAATAAAGAATTAACTGATTTTAAAGATAATTTAAAGAAACAGAATGCCTGGACAGAAATTGGAAGCATTTTGAACATGACAGGTATGTAATAATTTTCTAAATTTCAATTTATTCCATTTATTTTAACAAATTTTTGTAAGAAATCATTAATTTCTTATAAACTTATATTAATTATAATTAGTTAACTTAAAAATGTAAAAACTTAACAAATCTTATTAAGAAAATTTGATTAAAGAGTAATTGAAATAATAATTTCTGATGAAAAATCAGTTTAGTTCATAATTCATGATTGATTTTTCCTTTTTTTTCATTAGTTACTTCAAATTTATAAATTGTATATATTAAGTTAAACCAGTGGCAAATAGTGTAAATTTTTATCCTAGATTGCATACAAACTAATAAACAACTAGAAATACTGAGTATGCAGTATTTCTAGTTGTTTATTAGTTAGAGTATTTTTAGCAATACTAGATTGTATGCTATCTAGCACTAAAAATTGCACTGTGTGTCATTAATGTAATTTTTATTGCTAGTGGATGAGTGCCAATCTAGATGGACGAGATTAAGAGAGCGATATACAAGAGAAAAAAAACAAAGACAAGAAGAAACAAGTAGTGGAAGTGGATTATCAAAAAGAAAAGCTTTTGAATTTTTCAAGAATATGTCATTTTTGGAACCATTTGTGAAGAGAAGAAGGTATAATAAAAATTAAATTGTTAAGAAATTAGAATAATAAAGGTATCTTTTTTGTGTATTCTTAAAATTCTTTGTACGATAAAAGCAATTTTTAGACATTACTTTTTTTCCTTTTAGAACGGTGACCAATGTGTTTAGTAACAGCTCATCTTCATTGCCAAAACAGTACACTCTTCAGAAGTATATAAGACATAAATATAATATTCATATAAAATTAAGAACACTTTTATATACAAATCACTAATGAAATCTCTATTGTCTATTCCAGAAACTTTAGTTCTAACAACGAAAAAGAAAATAATTTTTCTTTGGCAAATGCGATTACGTTCATTGAACAGAATTCTTCCAAAAATATAAAATCACCAGAACAAAATCGATATAAAACAAGCAGCGACAATGAAGTCAATGTATCTTCTACGAAAGCAGCTACTGCGATTGGACAATCTTTTACAGATGTCAAAAATTCAGCACATTTAAAGTAAATATTTTCACAAGCATTCGTTCGTTCGTAGGATTTCTTACTTTGAGAATTGAATTAGTTTTCATTGAAAGCTGTATTTTATATCTGTTCAATGTATATGTATATGTATATATTTGTAGATTTTAGATATTCATAGATTTTCTGTATAATAAAAATAATTATTGTTTCAGAGACTCATCTGCACATTTTTATTCCAAAGTATCAAACGACGATGCTTCTTCGATGTCAGCGTTAAGTGCCTGCGATTATGCGCGGAAGAAAGATTTGAATAGTAAATCAAAAGGAAAATCGCAGCCAGATGTTCTACAAAATGCAATTTGCAAAATTACATCTTTACTAGAAAATAAATACTCTTCAAATGTTTCGACTGCCTCGTTATCTCTAAAACCAGAAATAGAGGAAGATGTAGCTTTTTGTCAACTTATACTTTCTTCACTTGTAAAGATGCAGCAATGTGAAAACGTGGAAAAAAAGAAGAAAATATTGCGTATTATATATGATGTATAGAATAATCAAAGTTTTTAAAAGACTGACACAACTTTGAAAAATGCAATTTTCTGGCAATATATTTTTTTATTTAATTTTGTTTTGTTTAGTTTTAATTTAATAATATAAAAATTGAAGCAGTTGAATAGTATTTGTTTTATAATAAAATGTATTAGCATTAATGATTTAAGTTTTGTTTTGTTTAAAGTATAAAATAATATAAAATGTATCAGTATAAATGATATACAATTATATTTTGTTCAGAGTTTAAATATAATAATACAATATATTAGCATAAATATCAAGTTTTGTTTTGTTAAAAATAAAATGTATGTACATTTAATAAGTAAAATATAATGTAATTTGTATTAAAGTATCTTATGGATCATCATGATGCAGCCCTCTTCTAACATATTGATATTGCCATGGAACTTCACCTTGTGGTGTTAAAAAATAATCAGCCAATTTATCTCTTTGTTTATATGCAACTGTAGTTGCATGATGCATTGAAGTAGGAGGTATGTCTCTGAACGCATTTTGTACATGTCTTCGCCACTCTCCAGGAATAATGTTACCTGCTACATCTTCTGAGTCCACAAAGTTAGGAGGACAATATATTCTATTCTCTATTTGCACAACATCTTCCTCAAACTTTATATAGTTATGCAGACATATAGTCGCCATGACAATCGTATCTATATATTTAGGATGTACGTTAATTGGCTTCCGATAAATCCTCCATCGTGAAGTTAAGATGCCGAAAGTGTTTTCTATCGTACGCCTTGCTCTAGACAATCTGCAATTCAACAGAACGTGTAATAAAGCATACATATCTTATATAATAGCACTAATTAATAAAAACGCAAACTGCTAACCTGTAATTAAATATATTTTTTCTTTCATCAAGTAACTTTCCAGAGTAAGGTCGCATCATAATACTACTGATTGGAAAACCGCTATCTCCGAGAAAAAAACATGGCAAGTTAATGTTGCTTCCAGGAAGCTTTGCAGATCCTTTAGGAAGATTTAATGTTCCTTCTTGCAGTGCCAAATGAATATCAGAAGAGGTAAAAATACCCCCATCGCTACTGCTACCATACGCGCCTATATCGACTAATGTGAATCTATATCTGTGATCACATGCAGCCATTAATACAATACTAAATTTTTTTTTGTAATTAAAGAATAAGCTCCCAGAATGTGGTGGAGCTTGTATTTCCACATGTTTCCCATCAAATGATCCAACACAGTGAGGAAAATTCCAATTTGTTAGAAAACCAGTGCAAATATTTTTCCATTCTTCTTCTGTTGGTAAACAAAGGTAAATCGGTTGCAATACCTTTACTATGACAGAACAAGTTTCATGAATAATTTTTCGTACTGTTGACTCTCCGCATCTAAAAGCTAGTGCAATGGACAATATTTGATCTCCTGTTGCCAAATATCTACAAAAATAATCTTGATATATAAAATACTACTATCAAATATTTACAAATATAATATCATGTTACACATGTATTTTACTATTGTTACAATTAAACAACTGTTGTTTATTTAATAGTATATGACAAATGAATACCTTAGAGTTATGATCAATCGATGTTCTGGACTAAAAGCTCGTTTGCTCAGTTTAGTTAAAAAAGGCTTTGTCATTTGTAATAAATGTTTGAATGTTTCCTTTTTCATTCTTGCATATCGAAAAAATGTTTCCAAATCATTATATTTTAATTCCTGGACAAGATGTTCGTAATCTCCATATATAGGACGTGCAACATTAATGGGTCTCACCCACCATCTCCGATTTAACCATCTCTTTTTTCGATTCTTTTCTTGTAACAACATTAATAAGCACAATTGCAATAAAGACAAAATGAGAAAATCTTCATCCATGTTCACATGTATGATGCTTTATGTCCAATTATGTAAAATTATAATTATAATAAACATCTAAAAATATAAAAATACGAATCAAATGACTATTCGCGTATTATTAACTTATGGTATTATTTTATTTTTACAGTATACACAAAGATTTATTAATAGTCTTTCAATTTTCGTTACATTAGATAATATAAATGACATTTAAATAAAATTATTAATAAAATTATTAATTAAATCAATGTTTTATTTAAAATCCAAACATGCAAAGAACATTACAAAAAACTTACGTGACACAGTAAAATTTTATTTTTTGGTATTAATTGTAGTTGCTATAAACTTTTGTTCTGACTAACCTAGATATAAAATAAGAAAAAAATAATTAATATTATCATTCAATAATATTATTTATATTATTATCTTTTAATTTGATTTAATTTACCGTTTATCAATGTATATTTGCGATAGCATTCGATGTCCAAAAAACTTTAAGGTTAGAATGTTAAGAGCCAATGCACAAGTTTGTGCGTTGATGAACGTTACGTTATGCTCTATGCATTATGCCTTATGCGTTATGTAAAAGTCTGTGCTCTGGCCTTAAGGCAGATGAACGAGACATAAGCGTCATAGTCGTAGACGTAAAATAAAACAGAGAAAAACGTAAACGTAAATCATGAAAGGCTATTAGTCTTACGCTTAAGTTTTTCTCTGCCTTACTTTATGATTATGACGTTTACATCTCGTTCTCTGCCTTAGTCCTAATTTCTCATGAATTCTCAAAGTGTTCTAGGAATTAAGTTGCGAAGTATTTGCTATAATGAAGTTCTAAGGAATATTTCAAGACGAACTTACTGTGGTTAATTCTTCAAAATCCAAGAATTCTTCGGGTATTCATTTTTCTAATTCTATATCTATTCTTTAAAATGCATTCTCTAGGAACTTCTGTTCATCTCTATGCTATCTGGGTATATTATATGCATATATTATATGCATATATAATATAATATATATGCATACTATATATGCACATATTATATACGCACATATGAAATAATATATAGTATAATAATATATGCATATATAATATGTGCGTGTGTACAAAAACCTGGGGGGGGGGGGG